TCTTCTCATATGATTAGCAACTACGAGGCTGTGTCATTACATAAATGAGACATTGAGGTTTTCGCTTGGCCTAACTTGACATAATGCTTCATGTCATACTGCAGGCTCGCGGCGCGGGATGGAACACCGAGTTGTGAAGAGGCGTGTACCGCTGCGAATGGTTGAATCCGTAAGAAATTGTACGGGTGATGATACGGAGATTGCATGCTTCCGGCAACCTCCGGTGATACTTGCTTCAGCGAGGCTGCAGCAGTGCGCAAGATGCATCGTGACTTTTTGCGTACTGAGTTTTGAGTCTTACTTCCAAATGGAGGAGGACATGGCTTACTCAGCTATCGATGCATTTAAACTGCTAAAAACCAGGAACACTGCATGGCTTGCAGGCATACGTGCAGTGGCTACTGGCACTGCAGCGAGGTGAAGAGCGTATTGACTTGGGCATGTTCGGATGCAGCCGGCTCTTAGTTAGACGTTGAAAATTACAGGTACGATGGTCCGAAGCCATAGTCTCTCCGCTACACTCTCAGCCTCACTAGAGAAGAGCCTCGTGGAAAGAAAGCGCCAAGCCATCAATCTGGCTTGGCTTCTGCTCGTGGCTGTTGAGGCTGAACCGCGTTACTTTCACACGCTTATGCCACCGCTAATCGGCTCTGGAATTTCCATCGTTGTTCTCTGGTGGAAGTACCTAAATAGGAAAAAGGCGTTATAGCATGGGCCGAAGTCCGAGGACGATGCACCGGAGGCTGAGATCAATCTGCCCATGGGACCGTCCGTGACCCCTTCACGATATTGATACAAGCAGACACCATGCCTCAGCAAGTTGTCAATCCTATAAGAAGGTTGAATCCATTCAGTGAGGAGCAGATGAGCCAGACATCCATTCACACATACCACAACCAGCAACCAGCTCTCATCACCATTGTTTATGTCAGAATCACTAGTATACCAACCTCTTTTCCAGCGCAGCCATGGACCATTCAACAAGCACAACCGAGATCGTCTCCGCCCAATTAATAACCGCGATCCTTAGTGGCCTTGCCTACAACTCCATGACCCAATCATCAGGACTGATTTGCGAAGCTGACGCCGACGTGGGCTACCCTCTTCGTATATCTCCTGTCATCTGCATTATCGACGCGATCAACATCATGGGTCACTTCGCGTGGTACAGCCGTACTAAAGAATCCCTCTACGAGGCCATGAAAGCCCTGCTAGGCTGGCGATTCAAGTGTCAGCATCACGCTGAGCTACGAGATGCTTCGCCCACTGGCTCTCCCAAACGAATTCTCAAGACAGTGGTCTCCAAAATTCTGCCGCGAGTCATCACCTCCTTCCCGCCAATCTGCACATTCATCAAGATTTGCGGTTCCGAGGGGCTTGTAAGGACAAAAGTCATTGCTGTAGCGTTCGTCTTCTCGTTCTATCGTTTCCGAATTATTAGTCGTCTGGCCTGCGATGATCTGGCCTGAGATGATTATCTCAATTTCCGAACCGAGAAAGAACCCCCAGTCGGGCGAGGATCCCCAGCCCAACGAGAATCCCCAGCCCGACAATGATGAACATTCGCCTTACTTGGTAACCTACTCCTCGATCGCTCTTGCGGTCATTTTCATGCTGTGGTTCGCATCTGCGGCTGCCCAAGATTGCTGGGGGCAACCTCATCACACCCAACCTCAGTGGTTGGCCAAGACCACCGGCATGCTGGGCTGCCCGTTGGCTGTATCCGCGCTCCTCTACTTGTACTACGGCAACATTGCCGATATAAAGAACAGACTGGAGTCAAGTTTGATACTGGTTGTACTAGTGCTCCTGACGTTGGGCTCTTACCTCATGAGTCAACTGGTTCCGTCTCATACATCTTCAATTATAGCCCAGTCTATCACGGCCATTATAGCTGCGACTTAGTGCGCGATTGCGATGTGGTTCGCCGCGGAGACATTGGAGTCTTTGAGAAGGGTGGCGGCCAATTCTCACGCACGAGAAACGGTTGAAATGTTCAACGCGTGGTATTTCTTCTGTCTCAATTTCGCCACAGCACTGATTTATTACATGTATAGTTACAACCCAGCTGGTACAGCAAAGCCCCACTGGGATTGGGAAGCATGGCTGGGCTGAGAGTAAACTTCATAGGATAGACTTCTAGTACAAACAATTTGGGAAGAATGGCTGGGATGAGAGTAGAATTCGTAGCATAGACTTATAGTTCAAACGCATTAGAGAGACTTGCCTAGACTCTTCAGTTTTCTCAAGCCTCTGCGAATGACCAAAACCATGGGTAACGGGTAAGGCTTGTGTTATCTCATGCCGTCAATTGCCGAGTCGAATGGAACATGAATGGTAGCTGAAAGCTTTCAAAAATTTTACTTGCTTCAATGCCGTCTTCCACAGTCTATCATCGTCGAGGGACTAATTGCCTAGTCATGTCAAGGGCCGGTTAATTCGATGGGTGTCGACTCGGTCCAGGATCTGGGCAGCAATTCAAGCGGGGAACCCCACCTAAATCTCTTGGCCACGAAATCTTCCCGATCTGGCTTAGCGGGCCACGATCTATGAGTCGAGATGGCCTCAATGACTGCGGGTTTTCTCCAGCATGAATGCGCGGTTTCCTTTTCTTTTCTAAATTTCTTTGATAACGGCAATGATATCAATATTGCGGTGGGGAGGGTACCATACGAGGTAGGATCGCCAATCATGGCGACCGCATTGAGGAAACAATATCGAATCAAAGGCGACAATGAGGATCGCGAAGTCCGTAAAGTCCACCTGGACCTGTCGCCCGCGGGCACCGACGAGCTTTTTTCCAAGCCAGGAAGGTCTGTATGGTCGGTGATGGCGGTGCTCATGGCGTTCCTGGTGAGCAAAGAAATCACTATAAAAGATACTCAACTTCCACGGCAAGCTGAGAACAAACCAGGCACTCTCTCTCAAGCTCACATTCCCAGACTGGTCTTCAATATCCATAATACCCGAGATGCTTCTTCCGACAAACTTGGCGACCATCGCCATGGCCGCCCTCCATCTGGGAGCCGCCACCGCCCAACGGCCCGTCATCCGGGCAGACACCAACCGCGACGGCGCCGTCAACGAGGCCGATGACATTGACAAGGCGTTCTGGACTCCGGCACGGGGAGCGATCTTTCTCCCGAACGTCGGCGATTCCCTCCGTCGTTGCGCAAACACCGATCTGCAAGGCAACCCCCTGAGCAACCATGAGCTCGCCTCATGCAACGACGCCTCCGGCCATCTGCTCCTCGAGCCAGGCTTGGTCGCGCCGTTGAAGACCGCCCCGGTAGATGTCTCGGATGATGTCTTTGCCCATATTTATGCTACCCCCAAAGCTGCGGCAAAGAGGGTGCGCCTATTCGTGAACGACTTTCCCTCCCGCGCCAGCGAAACCGCCGCATGGAGGCTCGTCGACCCTGAATTCATCTTCAACGCCACACAACTCAAAAACGGCATCTCCCTGGGCATCGACGGCCGCGAGTTTGTCACAGACGCCTCGGAGTGGGATGGGAAGGTCACGGTCCACTTCGACCTCCACGTCAACACCACAGTCCTCTCCGACGCCGTCGAGCTCAAAGTAGCACCAGTCCTCACGCACCACCACCTCCAGCGCGTCGACACCCTCATCAGCACCGCCGCCAACGACTCCGACCCCGTTCAGCTCGAGTTCATCCGCCAGCTCGACGCAGGCCGCGCAGCCGCCGGTCTGCAGACGCCGCTCTACCTCTTCAACCAGAGCAGCGACATTTGGGCGCAGGACTTCATCGAGCCGGCGTACGCCAGCATGCCGGGCCCGGATGGCCCTGTCTCGATCCGCATTATTCTGCGGTCCGCGCAGTCGACGCGGACTGGCGGTCGTCAGGTGTTTGAACAGTTGAGGGGTAAGGGCGTGGGCGGATTCCAGCCTGAAGGGGGCCGTCGGGGTTTTGGACATCTTGAGATCAACTCGTTTGGTAACCTCGAGACCATCCCGCCGTACACCTCCAAAAGCGGCATCAGGTACCCTGTCGGACGTACTGTTCATGGCAAGCACTTTGAGAAAATGCCTGCGGAGTCGATGACGAAGTTCCTCGATGGGCAGGGGTTGCAGAAGCCGCTGATGCTTGAGACCGGGTGGCTACTGATCGGGCACGTCGACGAGTTCGTGCAATTCCTGCCGTCTAACAACACCGGTCTTGGGTTCACTATTGGCATCGCGGATACTGTCTCTGCTCTCGAAATCCTGCGGAATGCATCTACTGCAGGCCACGGCGGGGTGCGGGCCGTGTCCTTTAACGGCAGCCTCGATAACGCGTTCTCGACTTCTGCGGAGGAGTTGGCGACGACAATCGACCAGATCCTCGCCAACGAGACGTTCCACCAGGTGAATGCCTACGCCCAGAAGCACATCGACGCCAACCTCGAGACGCTGCTTTCCGAAATCCCGCTTGCGAGAGAGCATGTCGTTCGGGTCCCGGTGCTCTTCAAGGATCTCAACATGGGCCAGGGGGTCAGCCGCTCCGACGACGGACTGCCCTCACACACGGACACGGTGATGGCGGACGAGTTTCTGGTGGCGAGCTTCAGCCCTGCTGCGATCAACGGGATTGTGCTGGGAGAGCATTATTTGAGCCCCAAGCCGTGGGGACCTCTGGTTGACGGGAAGGATCTCTTTGAAGAGAGAGTGAGGGCGGTGTATGGTGCAACTGGTATGGATGTTGGATTCGTCGACGACTTTTTGTCGCACCATGTTGGGCTTGGAGAGATTCACTGCGGAAGCAACACCCTCAGGGAGACGGATGTAAAGTGGTGGGAGTGAAGAATCACCCTGGATATAGCCAATGCCTGTGTGGGAGAGTGTGCAAGCGCACCTATTTTCGCATTGATCTAGGTCTAGACGTCTGAGCGTTTGCCAGGTCTTCTACCTGACATCTAAAGCCGCCCTTCTAGTTCTACCTTTATACTTCTAATTCTTTTTACTCATAATACAAGTCTAACACGCTGTTATTCCTCCCAGCTTAATCAACGCGAAGTCTCTTGGTGCCGTTACCGTTGGCGTGGCCGTTCTCGCCGTTCTGCGCAGCAAAGTACTCCAGGGAGCCCTTGGGGTCGGCCTTCATGCCCTTGCTGCCGTTCTGCCAGCCGGCGGGGCAGACCTCGCCGTGCTCGTCGGTGAACTGGAAGGCCTCGACGAGGCGGATGGTCTCCTCGACGTTGCGGCCGACGGGCAGGTCGTTGACGGTGATCTGGCGCAGGATGCCCTTGGGGTCGATGATGAAGAGGCCGCGCAGGGCGACGCCCTCGTCCTCGATTAGCACGCCGTAGCTGCGCGAGATCTTGTGGGACTTGTCGGCGACCAGGGGCAGCTGCAGGTCGTCGCCGAGGCCGCCCTGCTTGCGCGGGCGCTCGGTCCACGCGAGGTGGGAGAAGTGCGAGTCGGTTGAGACGCCGAGGACGGTGGTGTTGATGGCCTTGAAGCGGGGGAGCGCGTCGTTGTACTGAATGATCTCGGTCGGGCAGACGAAGGTGAAGTCGAGGGGGTAGAAGAGGAGGACGACCCTGTGACGGTGCATGTTAGTTATCTGTCTTTGTGGCGGCACGGGGGTCGTTCGCTCCCTGGGAGACACGATGTCTCGCAAGGTAGCAGGAGAGCTACTTACCACTGGCCGAGGTAGTCGGACAGAGAGACGTCCTTGAACTCACCACCCGGGAAGAGGGTGGTGGCCTTGAACTCAGGAGCAGGGCGCTGGACGAAAGCGGTAGACATTGTGACGGTTGTTGGTGGTTTTAGTGTACGGGAAGATCGTGGGGAGAAAGTTGGGGAACTGTGGAATGTGGAGGAGATTGATGATCGTGAAGGAGAAGAGCTTCAACAGCGTCAGGGGAGGAAAATTCTATTCAATTATCTGTTACAGGAAGCTTTCCCTTATCATGGGTTGCCCGTGCGACCATTCGCAATCGGGACCCATTTCGTATCCACTGCTTGTCTCCATTTACCCCTTTGGCGTGTCGCGATTCAGGGATGACGTGACTTGTAGCTCAATGCTTCGCGTCATTGTCGCGTTAATTAGGTTTGCTTTTTCCGATAAAGCGGCGGGTTTGCCAGCTGAAGAGGTTGAAATCAGACCATGGCAACACGGATGCTCCAATGATGTTTCTGCGAGGCCTGCTTCACAGTTTAGGCGGTGCAATTGAGCTTCGAGGGACATGCATATACTTTGGTGCACAGGGTATTCATCCAGACAATAAGTTCGCTATCTCCAAGAATGTCAATTGCTGGACCGGGCCGTTGAACGTTGCAATCTATAGCTATCGTCAAAGTCAACCTAATCAGAGCCTCCCACCTTACCATCTTCTTCCCGGGCCGGTCCATGCTCTCCAGGGAAAGCCGGTTCCGGTCTCGTCCCGTACGGAATGATGCGGACCATGTGCCGCCTCTCTCCGTCCTGGAAATCCGGCACGGCGGTATGCGCCACACTCCGTTGATCCCACACCACAACCGTTCCCTTCTCCCACCGCACCCTGCAGCTGAAGTCCAAGCTGCGGATGTGGTTGTGCAGGAATCCCAGCAGTGCATCCGACTCCTCGGGCAGGAAACCTTCCACCTTGCGCGCGATGGTCGGATTGACGAATAGGCTGGGCTTGCCGGTGACCGGGTGCTTGATGACGAGGGCATGAGTGGTAGAGACTGCTTCCTTGAGGGCCCGCTCCGTGCCGACGCGGGCAACCTCGCCCACGGACGCGGAGGTGTGGAAGAGCCGGAGGGGGTGGAGGGTCCGCCGGAATGCGGGGGAGAGAGCGGAGTAGGCGGCGGTCAAGGAGGTGAAGGCCGTGTCGCCGCCGCCCGAAGCCGGAGACTCTAGGACCCAGAAGAACGTGGTTGATGGGACATTTGGGGTGAAGGTTTGGTCCACATGCCAGAGGTCATAGCTCGTGCGTGGACCGAGAAGGTTTCGCAGGTTGCCTCTGTTGGATGTAAGTTAACGATGCCCTGAGCTGAGATTTGATGACAGGATGAACTCACGCCTTTTCATCTGCGTAAACGACGTGGAATTCGGGGCTGGTGCCCTCTGGATAGCCCATCGTCGGGTGCTAGAGCCGTGGTCAATTTACGAGCTATGTCGCATCACTTCAGCACTGACTTGATGAAGTGGCCCGTAGTGTCGGACAATCTCCTGCTGTCTGTCGAACCCCACGTCGGCAAATTCTTGATCTCTCTATCATATTTTCTCATTAGATGGAAGACTCTCAATGAGACAGTTGAGTTCGAAAGTCGCCTTGACTCACAAACACGAGCACACCCCTCTCGGCCGCAAGCAACGCGACCTCATCGAGGCCGGCGCCGGACAGCTGGCTCAACTGGACCCCGCGGATCTCAGACCCAACCCGTGGGGTAATATTCTCCACTTTCGCATCCTGAGTCTTGAAGACGGACAGTTTGTTGGACTTCTTCGCTCGCACCCCAGGCTCGTCTGCCTCAAAGAATGGGACGTCAATGGTCGGCTGAAAGCCATCGGGCCGGGTGGGCAGGTAAGCTGGGTAGAGCGGCTGGGAGGCCATGATGAACTGACTCGGCCTGAAAGGGACAATTTCTTGGGGTGTTGCTGTACACTGGCGATGCTAGCACGTCATTGTCCGGCGCTCTCTTGCAGTATATGTATTGCTATCCTCGGTTGTCACTAGATTGTGACCGAGTCGATGTTCTCAGCATCCTTTATCGGGGCCACCCCGATGAATCTTTCCTCGTTGGACGCCAGAGCGACCGATTCTCACCTGGAAATTCCATTGAGTGACACGTTCGGCGGGTCCCCGACGTTGACGGCATCACCCGTCGTGATGGCGACATCGTCCGCCGCAGCTAGGAACATCCATGAAGCGCTAGTCGCCCTCCCCGGCTGGAGAAATTCTAGCGGCCAGACCCCCCTTTCTGTGACCGAGAAAGAAATTCAGCCCGGACAGAGCAACAAACACAGATGGCCTCAATTCCACCATTGACATTGGCGATGCTGTAATTCGCGCTCAGCAAGTTTTGAACGCGTCAAAGATCGGGACGGTCCGACTTCACATCGGACTTGACCCGCTCGGTGTGGCTTCGCTGAAATAACGAGGTAGCCTGAAATTATTGCCTCGAAGCATATGCTGTCTTCATGGGATGCTCATAAAGGCAGACTCTGATCCGCCATAGAAACTGGTTCTGTCCAGCATCAGTTGGCGAGAAGAACGACAGCCATCATCATGGCAACAACAACGGAAACTCTGCCTTCTGACACAGAAGTGACGCCTTCCACGTCAACACCAGCCCTGTCGTCAACATCGTGGTTGTCGAGAGTCCACCCCTACTTCAAGGATCCTGAGCACGTCCTCGTCCTCAAACTGGACATTCTCCTGCTATCATGGGCCTTCGTTGCCGGTCTGATGAAAGATATGGACCAGTCCGCCACAACAGCAGCCTACGTGTCGGGCATGCAGGAGTCCCTATCGCTCTACGGCAATGAGCTGGTCGAGTTCACGACTTACTTTTCCATCGGCTACGCTCTCTTCATCGTCCCATCCCAGCTCATCCAAACCCGCGTGCGCCCATCGCTCTGGCTGCCCTTCTGCGAGGTAGTGTGGGGTGCCATTACACTTGCGACTTTTGCCGCCCGCAACGCAAAAACGGTCTATGGCCTAAGATTCGCTCTGGGCGTTTTCGAAGCTACGTCTTGGCCGGGCATCGTCAACCTAATCTTCAACTGGTACACCCCCTCGGAACTTGGCAAGCGTCTCGCCATCTTCGGTGTAAGCAGTGTCGCTGGGAGCATGTTCCTGGGCATCCTCCAGGCCGCGTTATACAAGAACCTCAACGGAGTACACGGTCTCGAAGGATGGCAGTGGCTTTTCGTCGTGTCGGGTATCATGACGATCGTGTGGGGCCTGTACGGGTTCCTCGTCATCCCTGATGCGCCGACGACTACCAGAGCCCTGTGGCTTACCAAAGAAGAGCGCGCCCTGGCCGCCTCTCGGATGGCCAAGTCAGGCACGACGACGCAGGAGATCATCAAAGGCAGGGCTCTCTGGAACAAGGTCAGAAAGCTCCTCACCTCACCAGTGGCGTATCTGTTCCTTGCCGCCTATCTCCAGTTTGCGTGGTCGCAGCGCGCGAACTCTTACTTCCTGCTGTATCTGAAGGGTCTCAAAGACGGGGAGGGCAACGCGCTGTACTCGGTGTACACCGTCAACCTGATACCCCTGGGCGGCTACGCCATCTCCATCGTGTCGAACATCTCACTCAACGCGCTGAGCGACTGGAAGAACTGGCGTTGGCAGGTTGGCGTCGGAGCCGCACTCCTACAGCTTGTTGCTACCTCAGTGTTGGCAGCTTGGCCGGGAGGCCGCGGCACGATCATGACATTCTATTTCCTGACGTTTGCGACGGCGGCGTGGGGATATGCTCTGCTCGCGTGGCTGGCTATCATTCTGCGCAAAGAGCCGGAGGCGCGCTCTGTGATTGTTGGTGTCGCCGTGACGTTGGTGTACGTCGGCCATGCGACGATTCCGCTCCGAGCATGGCGGACCGCGGACTCTCCGCGATATCCGATTGGGTTTCCGCTAGCAGCGGCATTCAGTGTGGGTAGCATCGCGGCGATGATGGGGATGTATTGGTATGTGAAGCGGTATCCTGACATTCTTGACTTTGGACTCAACTGGAGGGCCATCAAGGAGGCTGGGGATAGCGTCGCTACTCTGGACAAGGTTGAAGTTGATGGGGAGAGAGATGAACAGGGCAAAGGCGAAGAACACATCAGAGTAAGCAAGAGAAGCTCGTCTTGAAAGTGCTCGTTGAAAGCACCGAGCACTTTCAAGCACGAAGGGGGTTAGACTCAGATCAGAACGGTTGAAGGAATCAATACCGTTGCCATCTTGTGACAGTCTCGGTCTATTATTATCACTGCGTGTGCCTATACAAATATTCTACGATGAAGCGTCTTGGGCAGCAGCGAACGTGTGAAGACTGCCAGTCGCTCTTGCATACTCAACCTTCGCCTCCCAAGGACCGTCAACGCCATTGGTTCCGTTTATCTGACTGCCTTCGTCTCCGTCCGGAATTCCCCAGCCACCACCTCCCGGAGTATGGATGACACATCGATCTCCGGTCTTCATATCGACTTGGCCTCTAGGCCCGATGTTGATCCATCTTTCTCCGCCATCTTCCATCTTCTGAACCCAATAGTTCGCCCCCGACTCGCCATTCTCACCCCCCATCATGCCGTAGGGCTGGTGGACCCGACGCTCCGAGATGATGCCATATGTCAATGGCGCGCGGCACTCAAAGTCACGCACAATTCCGCAACCACCCGTGAACTTGCCTCGTCCGCCACTGCCCTGTCGAATTGAGAATTCGCGGATCAATACCGGGTATGTCTTCTCAATGATCTCGATATCCGTGGTACGGGTGTTCGTCATGTGGATTTGGACGGCTGATGCACCATTCCATGTCGGACCGGCTCCTTCGCCACCACAGATTGTCTCTCCATATCCGAAGCCAAAGCCCTCGCCGTTGTTGGTCGTCGCGTCCGGCGAAGCAGCGGGGTCGAGCGAGTTGCCAAAGAAGCCGAAGCAGTTCATGCAACCTTGCGATCCGGAAGCTGCTCGGAACGCCTTGAGAAGGAGGTCGACCAGGCGCTGGGAAGTGAGAGTGTTGCCGCAGCAGACTGCTGATGTCGGGCCAGGGTTCAAAAAGGTGTTCTTAGGGATGATGACCTTTGTCGGAGTGAGACAGCCTTGATTAAGAGGGATGTCGGATCCAATCAGGAGGCGGAGGGTGTAAATCAGAGCCGAGTAGGTAATAGCCGGTGGCGCGTTCATGTTGGATAGCATCTCACACGAAGTTCCCGTGAAATCGAATGTGCCAAATCCTGACTCGTCGATAGTGATGGAAACCTGCATGCGCGAGCCGTTATCGAGATAATCCACGGCCTTCAGGGGCTTGGACCCGAATCTCTTGTACGCAGATAGGAGGTACTTCCTGACGGATACTTCGGCATTCTCTTGGATCTTCGTCATGTAGAAGTGCACAACAGGCTTCCCGAAGTCTTCCATGAGGGCTCTGATGAGACTGCTACCCTTGGTGTTGGCGGCGACCTGAGCCTTGAGGTCAGAAAGGTTGTCGGGAAGACGACGAGAGCCGCTGCAGCCGGGATGGTTTCCTGGGGCGAGGAGGATTGAGATGATGCCCTCCTCATCAAAGGTGCCGTCTCGGATGAGGAAGAATGACTTGATCGCAGCACCTTCTTGCCAAAGCTCGGTTGAATCACTGCTTTTTGTTAGTGTGAAAATACGATGACATGAATGAGAAAATCCTTACGGTGGCATGGAGTTGCCCTTGGATCCGCCAATGTCCAAGTGGTGGCCTCTCGAAGCTGTGTAGAAGCAGATCGTCTTTCCATCTTCGTCAAAGACCGGATTAATGACCGTGATATCTGTTCAAGTCAGCATATAGTCTCAGAGGGCCCAGAATCCGGGTGACTAACCAGGGAGATGAGTACCACCGGCCTCAGGGTGATTCGAAACCAGGACATCACCTGGGCGCAACTTTCCATGGTGCAGCTCGTGCTGGTACTTGACGGCATAGCTCATGCTTCCCAAGTGAACCGGAACATGCGGCGCATTGGCGACCAGATCTCCATCGGGACTAAAGATGGCACAAGAAAAGTCCAGACGCTCCTTGATGTTGAGCGAAAGACTCGTCTTCTGGAGAGTGCGGCCCATCTGCTCTGCAATACTCATGAAACGGTGACCGAAGATGCTGAGCTTCACCGGATCAACCACAAGCTCTCCGTCATCTGCTGGCTTGTTCTTATTCACTTTGTCGACGACATCGATGACGACGTGAGAGGTGAGGATCTTGGCTTGAGAGCCAGGGACGACGACAATGGTCTGCGTGCTGTCGATGATGATCGCTGGTCCGGCGACGATTGCGCCCGGCTGCAGTGTGTTGAGGCGGAAGACTTTGGTTGCTTGGAGCCCGCCTTCAGTGAAGTATGCGTTGGTCTGTACATCAGTTAGTGACAGCTTCGAATGAAGACCGTGGGAGGCTGCCTACGGTGGTGTCCTCGCCCTTGGTGACGGCGCTGAATGACAACGACTTCAATTCCTCTACGAGCCGATCATTATCTGTGCTAGACTGTTCGGCTTTACCAATTCCGCGTACACGGATGTCGTCCACATGGACCTTCCTCGATCTGGGAAAAGTGAAAGACAATTCTCGGAGATGCTCCCTCTCCAAAGCCGAGAGCCAATCGCCATCCTCAGGTTGAAGAATCATGAAGTTAGTATCGGTGCCGTTGTATCTGAGATTAAGATACGGCTCGTGCTGAATAGAGGCATGTTTGATACCTTGAGAGAGTAATCCGTCTGTTGCCTTCTTTTTGAGGTAGTCGATCCTCTCATTGAGTCTGGGAAGGGACTCATCAGACAGCATCTCGGAGCTTGGCTCCTGCGCCTCTTGGACCACCTCCGCCAGCGCCATTCCGTATGCCGAGAGAATGCTTGAATACTTGTGAACGACGATGCGGCCGATTCCGAGCTTCTCCGCGATTTCACACGCATGTTGTCCACCTGCACCACCAAACGTTGCAAGGTTGTGGTCAGCGGTGACGAAACCGCGGGCCTCTGTAAGGGCTCGGATGGGTCGACTCATCGACTCGTTTGCAACGTCGATGAATCCGACTGCAACTTCGTAAGGCGTCATCGAGCGTCCCGTATCAGCATTGATCGTCTTGGTCAGTTCTTCGAATTTGGCGGCGACGATCTCAGAATCCAACGGCAAGTTCTCATCGGGACCGAAGATGGCGGGGAAGTAGCTTGGGATCAGGCGTCCAAGGCTTCACAAGGTTAGCGCGTTAGGAAGCATCATTTTACGCGGGCGACTTACAAAAGGTTGGCGTCAGTCACAGTGAGCGGGCCACCTTTCCTGTATGAAGCTGGGCCTGGGTGCGCGCCAGCACTCTGTAGCAAGTTAGCTGCCGAAGCAAAGCGGTGGTTAGAGGAGAAGCTCATACCTCAGGTCCGACCTTGAAGAGCCCGTCACGCCAGAACAGCATGCTGCCACCGCCTGCAGCAACAGTGTTGATATCCAGCTGAGGACTTTGGATAGAAACGCCGGCGGTGGTGGATTCGAAGACATGTTCCAAGGATCCTCCATAACGGCTCACGTCGGTGGAAGTTCCACCCATGTCAAAGCCAACAATAGGGGACTTGCCGTCGTACGACGTGCGTGCATGACCAACCACTCCTCCTGCAAGGAAATCAGCGACTATCTTCAGAGAGCTGAGTGATTGTAAGAGCATGATACTCACCAGCAGGACCACTAAGAATGCCGCGCAACCCACTGAACGCCTTGTGGCTTACCAGCCCACCATCGCTCTGCATGAACTCACATGAGATGTCATCAAGGTTACCGTCCTGGAATTGTCTCGCAAATCCATTTACGTAGCGGATGATCTCGGGAGTGAGGTAAGCATCAGCCGACGCTGAGCTTCCTCTTGAAATCATCTTGATCATGTTGGCGCCCACGCTCGATGACGTTGAAACATGCTGAAAGCCAAGATCGCGTGCAATATCAGCAACCTTATTTTCGTGGTCAGGATACATGTAAGAGTGCGCGAGACAGATGGCCAGAGTTTCGATGCCCTTGGACCTGATGTCCGAGAGCTTCTGACGGACTTCATTTTCATTCAAGGGCCTGATGACTCTTAGAATGTCTCCCGTGATGCCCTTGACGAACAAACCAGGCGACTCCTTGGGCTGGGTACGAGCGGTCTTGTAGACATCCTCATCGTACGCTTCTACCGTTAGGCGTTCTGAGATTTCGATAACTTCGTCATAAAGAAGCTCTGGCTTGCGGATGCCGAGATCAAAAAGTTTGGGCCTGGATTGGTAGCCGATGTCGAGGAGGTCGCGGAACCCTTGCGTGACCACAAAGGCATGTCGGGTTCCTTTCCGCTCGAGGAGTGCTGATTACTGAGTTAGTCGAAATAGTTTCTTGTAAAGCTGCAGCTGCTCACCATTCGTCGCGACGGTAGTTCCCATGCGTATTGAGTGAATTAAATCTTTAGGAATTGGCGACCGACGAGGGATGGTTGTGCCAGACACCATCTCTAGAACCCGCCTGATACCTTCGGCTGGCGCATCATCGTAGTTGCCGGGGTCGACAGATAACAGCTTCAACACCACATCGGGCTGTCCGTGAATGGACGCCCAAACATCTGTGAAAGTGCCACCGCGATCTGCCCATGTAATGTTCAGCCTGTAGTTTTAGCGGCGAAGAACAATTGCTGACTTACCAATCGCGAAGTTGATGCTCTTCGGCTCAATTGTGCGAATAGCTGTTCCAACAGCCATCTTTACGTCTAATGAGAGATAGTAACTAACCGACAAGAAATCGATGTTACAACATACGACACGAAAGACCTCATAAGAACCTCATAAAGTTATATGACACACAACCTTCGGATCCATCATCACCAATCCGGCAGAAATGGCTAAATGCCGATGTCGCAGATTCGATCGGCGAGTGCTCCGGCAACCATTATACCCAAATGCATGATGATATTGGACACAACGGACGCCCGTCGATTCGACCTGCCACGAAGTCATGCACCTATCAGTCAGCCATGCACTATGATAGGTGATCTGCAGTCTGTGCAGCTTAGTCGATAGCGGGGTAAGGGGAAGCCAAGGGGGGAGATATGGCCAAACTCCTGTTCTCCAGCCTCGTCGTTTAGACCTTCCAAAGGTAAGAGTCCTATCACAGCTCTCGTCTCAGAGCAGCACGTCACCAGGTGGATCCATGCATGGTAAAGTTGCAGCGCGGGTGATAAGAACCCAGGGCTGATGCGGTCGACGATAAACGCCCGATCCAACCCCATGCTAGTCGGCGACGCTGACCCTTACCCGGTCGGAGATATGGCTAGTGATATGAAGATGGCCAGTTCCAACAGCTGCCTCGCCAGGTCGAGAAGGACCAATGTCTAGCTAAATACAAATGATCTCCCCCTCATTAGCATTTTGGTCCCAGCATAAGTGTTTTTGAATTGCTTTTAGACAAAACCAATTATTGCAGCAACATTACTGAAAACGAAAGTGTCAAAACGGCATCATGGCCGAGAAGAAAGATGGCCCGGCAGAACAACCGGATATCAACGCCATTCATCCGAGCTCCTCGAATGTTCAAGGACAGTCTGAAATAACCAAAGCGCCACAAGATGGCATCCTTGACGAGGCCGCCGAGTTCTTGGCGAACGCGAACGATTATCCGCCAATGACCCCGGAAATTGAGAAGAAGATTGTCAAGAAAATCGATGCTTGGATGATTCCACTTGTGAGTAAACTTGTGTCCATTCAGCTTGTGATATAGAGCTGACGTTGAACGTGCACAGCTGCTGTTTACCGCCACCCTCGGAGCGGTCGACAAAGTCCAAATGGGAACGGCATCTCTCTATGGCTTCCAAACGGATAATGGGTTTGTTGGACAACAATATAGTTGGCTTGGAAGCGTTCTTCCCTTGGGAGTAAGTTATACAGTGGCCGCTGTTGGATATGCAGCTGCTAACACCAGCTATTTAGCAACTGATCGGATATGTTATCGCATCTTACCTCGTCCTTCGATTTCCACCCGCGAAGTTTCTATGCGCCGCATCCTTACTCTGGTCTCTTTTGACGCTTTTGCATGCACCATGTCGGAGCTGGTCCGGTTTCATGGCTCTTCGATTCTTCATGGGCTTCATCGAGGCTGCCATTTCCCCGTCATTGACGATTCTCGTCTCGAGCTTTTACACGAAGAAGGAACAGCCCCCAAGGAACGCTAGTAAGCAAAGTGTTGGTTCCATGACCAGAAGAGCTTACTGACGTATCACTCGCAGTTATCTTCGCGTACTTTTCCTCGGTTTTCAATGGCTTCTTCGCATGGCTAGTCGGCAAGATCCCGGACTCAGCCCCTCTTCTCAAATGGCAATATTTATATCTCCTGACCGGAACCATCAACGTTCTTTACTCGATATTCATCTGGTTCACCCTTCCAGACAGCCCCATGAACGCCCACTTCTTGACCGACGAGCAGAAGTACTACGCGACCAAGCGTCTCGCTGCTAACCGCACTGGTATTGCCAACAAGGTCTGGAAGTGGGATCAAGTTTGGGAAGCTTTACTGGACATCAAGATTTGGATCATTTTTGTTTTCAACATTTTCATCAACATTCCAAATGGCGGCCTTGTCAACTTTGGCAGCATCATTATCAACAACCTGGGTTTCACTTCCCTGGAAGCTAGCCTCCTGACCATGCCGTTCGGCGTTTTGGCTACATCTAGCGCCTGGGCGTTCAGCTATCTGGCAGCTAGATGGCATAACCGAAGAACGCTCGTTGCCTGCATTGCGCTATTGCTCCCCATCCTTGGAACGGCACTAGTTCACGGGCTTCCGAGAACAAACATTGCAGCCCAAATGGTCGGACTCTATTTCATGTATTTCTACTGGCGTAAGTGTAGCCGACCCAGGAATTCGTTCTCAATGTCTAACAATTAGTGCAGCCCCGTACGTGGTCGGCATCTCTCTCCCGCAAGCCAACACCGCAGGACAGACCAAAAAGGCTGTCTGCTTCAGTTTGGTTCAAGTTGGATATGCTACTGGCAACTTGATTGGACCGCAGACATTTATCTCAACCCAGGCACCGAAATACAACGGGGCCGTCATTGCGATGCTTACGAGCTACGTTGTCAGCATGGTGTTGATGCTGGCTTACTGGCTGGTGGCGCTCTTGGAGAACAAAAGGCGTGACACGAAATATGGCAAGCCGGAAGCGGTTCACGAGGGAACGGTTGACGGGTTCGTAGATATCACGGACAAGAAGCAGAAAGACTTCAGATACACCACTTAACAGGGCGCTTTCTATAGAAAGATATGGGTTCCATTGATAACGAAACTGGAACGTCATGGTTTTGGCAGAGCGAAAGTTGATCAACAGACGTTTTCGCTGGCTAATGCGATACATTGAGACTCGTTATTCGATGTTTTATGCGAGACTAATGGTGTCGTACCGACCCGTAAGTATCGACCAACCTTGCTCCGCATTACTCGTCTCTAGATCTCGTGCTTTCCAAACATCTTCTATAATACGCCTGGCCTTTCTAACATTGCCTAATTGCCTTGTTTGCTGCAATAGGTGGAGTTTCTCCAGAATCATCCGCCGGTCTTCGTCTGAATCAGAGCGAATACCAAGCGTCGCGACAGTGAATAGAGGCCAAAGAAGAGTATTGGTGCGAAGGGAGATCTTTGGAATGATCTCTAGAATCTGGGTCGTGAGTCTGAACATGTGCGGGTGCGAAGGGTTACATCCGTCGATGCGGGCATACAGGTACATCAGACCCGTGAGACGCTTCAGCTCAGAAATCCACTCCGACTCGTGGGGTTCATCCGAGAAAGACTTTGCTTTTGCGCCTTGGGTTGAACGGTTTTGCATTTGATGCAGTTCCCTCTCGATTGAATCTCGCTTGCCGTTTTGAATGGAGACATCCCCTTCAGGGGGACCTTGGTCAATACGGCTAGAGGTTTGGATTGGTGAACTGTTGGCTAGGCTCGTGATTTGAGAGAGGAGATCAATGAGGCGTTTTGAGCAGCCAGTCAAAGTCATAAAAATGGACGAGTCGTACCCGTCAATGAGATTTGACAGCTGACTTGCCGTGTGTGGCACAGTTGCTGCGTCTGGGCTAGCTGTGAACGCAAGGGCATCGTGGTAGACAAAATATGTGGAGGCGAACGCATACAGGCTGGAGGAGAAATTGTCGTCTTTGAGTTCATGGCAGATTTCCGACATCAAGAAGGATCTGGCAAATGTCGCATGGATTTCCCATGACCGAGAGCAGTCGTGCAGGATCTGTGACGAATAGTTAGTTACTTGTTCATGGAGACAGTGTGGCGTTATAGAGAACGTGACATTGGAGATCGTACTTCGAAGAAACACATCATCAATGTTGACGCCATGATTTGCTGGGCCAATGCTTTTCTCAAGGTCCCGTCGATTGTCGATGAAGAGTATTCAGATATTGTCTTTCTCAGAGAAAATAACGCATGGTCTCGGTAGGTCCAAATACTCCTTAGGTGCCCCGAATGCCTAAGGACTTGCATTTGGTGTGCTGAAACAGCAAGGATACTTCGGTATACAGGTCCTCCTGGCGATGCCGCAGCTATCCGGAGAATGATCTGCCGATAGGGGTTGATGCCATCTTTCAGGACACAGCGTGGAGCAATGAAATCATTGAAGTAGTTCCACAGGGAAGCTTCTCCCGTTGAGAAGTTTAGTGGAGAAAAGCTTCTCGGTATCGTTAGGTCCGACGAGCTTGCATTAAATGAAAGCAAGCTGCAGGTTGTGGCAGGTGATCTGGAGCGGTTATCTGGATTATGGACCCATGACTCGGTAAGAATCGTTGAAACCTCTTCAAAGTTTTGCCAAGTTGTGTTGAGAAACATCCACTCTTCAATCAAGCTGTTGTAGGAACAAGGTCGCATACAACTCTTCAGGCGGTCCCCATGATTCGGTTGCCGTTGCCAGGAAAGCCGCATTTCATAATGGCAACTGAAACCTAGTCTCTGGCAGTGGCTGCAGATGGGTCGCTGTTCTGTGGATTCCGATTAGCCTCATCAGCAGCATAAAGCCTTGTCGATTTGCATACCAGGACATTTGACGCGTCGCTCTGGATTTGTATAACAGTTAGTTCATGCTGCATAGTCTCTTGAACACGGCAGTGTGACATGAACCCACCTCGGCACTTCCAGCATCCACTTCTCACGCGAAGTTCCCCATTCCGGCGCTTTCGAGCTCTTTGTTGTGCTGAAGCTGGCATAGTAACTCTGCTGGTGAACAAGTGTCAATGTTTTTGGTAATGAGACGCAACTCCACCACGTGCAAAGATCACCAAATGTTCATACGCTTCTGGACGGGGTCACCCAGAATTGTTTGCTGTGTAATTCGATAGATAGGATGAGATGATAACGGGAATAAGAGATGGCAAGTCGAATTGACGGCATCATCCCAGTTGGCTAATCGCTACCCCGCAGATACGGATGCTGCCCGTAGTGGAGATAGAGACTGATTGGAGGACATCGGCGTCGGCGTCGGTGCGACTAGGCCGATTCCAATACAGGGTCTAAATTGCAGAGAGTTACATTAGTGCTATTGAGTCGTTGTTTCCACTTCTCCGCGCTTCAATTGGAAGTGTCCCGGTTGGGTTTCGCATGACTCCGGCGTAAGCCGCAATCGGGAGGTATCCGACGTCGGAGGTGTTGCCCTCGGAGTGGGGACGTTGTCGCGACTCAAAATAGGCACTCCCTCAGTGAAGACTGTCAAGTCTAGTCAGTTCTCCTATTCTACGATCAGTCTCGATTTCCGAATATTTTTGAAGATGTCAAGTCAAAAACCGTCAATATTGATCATCGGCGCCGGCACGTTTGGGCTGTCGGCGGCCTATCATCTCACCCGAGCCGGCTACAAGTCCATCACGATACTTGAAAAAGGCACAACAGTACCATCCGAGCTCTCAGCAGGAAATGATGTCAACAAGATCATTCGTGCAGAGTATGAAGACCCGTTTTACACCGACCTAGCCCTCCAAGCCATGGAAGAGTGGACAAACAACCCGACATTTTCCCCGCACTACCACCAGACCGGATATCTGCTGGCGAACTCGGCAGCGGCACCCGAAAAGACCAAAAAGACCTTGGCAAAGTCTCTTGAGAGCATCAAGACGCACCCAGCATGGGCCAGCAAGATTGACGCCATCGAGAGCCGCGAAGACATCTCCAAAGCTGCCCCCGCCTTGGATGGCCCGATGGAAGGATGGAAGGGCTATTTCAACCGCTTCGCTGGGTATGCACATGCTGCAAATGCGCTGAAGTCGACTTACGACTATGTGAAGAATCAAGGAGTGGAGGTCCACACTGGCGATGAAGTTGTTGCCTTTGAGTACGACGGCGATCGGTGCGTTGGTGCTCGGACGGCATCAGGAAAGCAGTTCACCGCAGACAAGACCATCATTACGGTTGGTGCGTCACTGGGAAATGTCCTTCCGTCTGTCGGCCGACAAGTCACAGCCAAGGCTTGGAGTGTACTTCATATTCAGCTTCAGCCGGAGGAGGCCGAGAAGTTGAAAGGCATCCCGGTCACATACGCGCGCGACCTTGGATTTTACTTCGAGCCAGAGCCGGGCACGGGTATTCTGAAGTTCTCGCCCAGTGGCGGAGGATATACCAACTACTCTCCCACGACTGGGCTTTCCGTGCCTCCCATCGACAACAACTTCGTGAGCGAGTCAGACGAACAAAAGATTCGTCAGCTTCTTCGAGAAACTCTCCCAAGTTTGGCAGAGAGGCCTTTCATCAACAAGCACATCTGCTGGTGTGCCGATACCGCAGACTCTGACTATGTCATTGATGCAGTCCCTGGAAAGAAGGGGCTGTTCCTTGCCACTGGAGACTCTGGGCATGGATTCAAGATGTTGCCTGTGGTTGGAGACTGGATCAAGACGCTGGTTGAAAAGGGAGAGCAGAGCATCCCACGTTGGAAGTGGAAGGAAGGAAGCGATGCCGGCAGTAATGTCAGCTGGAGGGCAGGCGAAGTCTTGGATTTGAAGGACGTCGGGTATACGTCTAAGTTGTAATCCATTCTCGTTCGTCTATTAATAGTTCATAACCCTGGCCCCTTTTGCCCCGTTGATCACTGACCCGTGTCTTGCTTCACCAGATGCACCAAACCCTCAGCTCGCAGCTTCGCCGAACCGGCTCCTTTTCTGTCCCTGATATGTAGAAAGCGCTATGCGGGCATAACAGCGCAATCTCGTCATCTCCCTTTTCTTTGCGAACCAAAGCCTCGCTGTCGTAGAATTTGATCAGATAGACCTCCTCTGGAGATTGCCCGCTGAGATAACGCCAGGCATGCTCTCGGGCCTCCCCGTTTTCTCCGTCTTGGAATCCAGAATCTCTCCTTCCTCCATCCAATGGCCTCACCATGGCATTTTGACTATAGTAAAATGGGACGCATCCCGGGCGCTTGCGATAGGTTCGTGTTAGTGGAGCGAACTCGACGTCTTTCGACACTGGTAAACTCATATCCATAACCGCCAACGGATCACGGTGGACAGTTTCGAACGGGCGCCATACGCTGAAGAAAGCATACCGCGGGCCTTCGTAGTTGGCGCCATCCCAGTCCCAATGGCCACCCTTCGGCAAGGTTGTCTCTCCTTGCACTTCTGGGCCTAGTCCAGCCTCCGCAATAGCGCGATCCTCGGCCTCGATGATCTCGCGTCGCAGGCGGAAGAACTCGGTACGCTCTTTTGGTGATGTACACTCTTCGTCCGCTGTATCGTTCTCCGAGAACCAGTTTGACTCCTTGATGGCGCGGAAGTGCGCACGAGCACCCGCCGGTGTATGATCTGCGTGCGCGATATTGAATGGGGCCAAAGACTCGATGCTGAACCCAATCTCTGGATTCATACCAATTTCGGACCAGCTCGGCATGTCTCGGATGGAGTGTTTTCGCACCACCACGCACCTTGCTCCCAGAGTCTTTCTCAATAGTTCGGTCATAGCGGGATAGTATTTGTTTGTCATATACTTGTGGTTGTGAACCGAGGCCGACGAGGGAGATATCGGAAGAGGCTGGCGTACGATTTGGAAGCCATTCTTCTCGTGCGTGTAGCTTGAAAGCGGTGAAGGTAGGGATCTTAGGTCGGTTACCGGGACTTTATATGTTTTGTTATCAGGGGAAGTACCCTCGATGATCGTGAGGTCGTCGAGAGCGGGAATCCCAGAGCTGTCATAGTAGCTGAAAGAGCCCAACACCTGCTGCTTCTTCAAAGGTGTCGCTTGCTCGTAACTTCCCATCTTGATTTGATACTAGATGATTTGTTTGTATGGCTGTAATTCTTCGTTGATCTGAAGCAAGTCTTACGGCAAGGGGGGAAGGACATAAAAGCAGAATTTTCACCTGAGCAGTATGGGCATTGAGCATACGTGGATTTTCATCCGGAAACGTTACTTAGGCGAGGTTTCATGCATCCAAACTATCTGGGGTCTGGCTGTTGAGACTGAGCCTAACATGATTCAGTCGGTGTAGAGAAATGCCTCTCATGCTACCCTTCGCATCTGTGCGCGCCTATAGTTTTCAGCAGCGAGCACCACCAACATACGACATTGCGTTGCTGCATGCATTAATCCGTCTCTACCGTTCATCCACGTAATACCATGTTGACTGAGTTTTCAATCGCCCACGTGGAAGCCGCGGAAAGCGCCGCGATGCACATGCATCTTGTGTGATGATGTGATCCTGGCGCAGACTGCCCCATCGCAGGTCTTCACTTGTAAAACCTGGTTTGTGAGCTCGCCGGAGATGTGGCAAGTCATGTGACAGAGATGGGCCACAAAGGATGCGTGTCATGGTGAATACCAACAAATGGGCACCTTCCCAGGCAATCTTCTCATCATCGGCAAAAACAACGTGGAAAACATTGATGCGCAGCAAACGATGGGATGAACTGTGTGCGATACTAAGGCGCCAAGGTTCACGGATTGCGGGAAGCTTTCACAATTCTGCCCAAGCTAGAGCTTGTAGCCGAGGATGTCAGCTGAAGAACATCATATGGAAAACTGAAAGTTGAAGTGAAGCTTGGCCCACACTAATTGAGTTCGATAGCTAGTCTCAACATACGGGCTGCTCGTAATGTGCGAAATTTCCCATTTGGCCTTTCTCCAAGCGTGAATTTGCAGTGTATGTATTGCAACTCCTCATGGCATGCGATGATGATTAAATAACCAGCTGGCACTTATTGCTGAGCGAGAAGTATGCCTTGTTTCTCGAACAGACCTCGACTGGCATCCCACCAGAATAACCAGCTCGCGAATTGACTACAACGCACCTGCTACATGGACGGGGTTCGCTTTGAAGATTGACGGCCTCGCTACTCGGTTCTTGAAGAAAGGGCTGAGACCAATAGCAACGGCACAACTGTTTGAATATCTGAAGTTGATGATGCCGGCTGCCACGTCAACTACGAATTCATGACAGCGGCGTCCTGGCAAGAATGTAGAATTGTGATAAAGAATCTCTGGATGGACCTTGTTACCATGGAACACCTGTTGGGCTTCTTCCTGTCCCCGGTCACCACAGATGGAACTCAGTCGCTCACTTTGGGCCCTTGCACCATATCCCTCGCCGTCGACCCATCTGCCAACATATCAGAAGCGAACAAGGACTCTCACCAGAAGTTCGAGACGACCTTGAACGACCTTGAACGACCTTGAACGACAGCCAGCTCAATTTTGAGAGCCTTATGCTTTCTCCAAATGTCACAATCTTCACCTCGCGCGAGGACACCCCCAACGAACTCAACGGCGACCAGTTTTTTGCACTCGTCATCCAGCTGCAGAAGTCGTTCTCGAACGTCCGCTTGTCCCCTCAGGTGATTTTCGGATCTGGCGATTGGACTGCGTCAGTAGCTCGCCTCAGCGGGAACCTCGCGAATGCTTTGGCTGTTCTGGCTCCCCGACTCCAAACGCTGCAACCAATCAAGGCTTTGACTCTTGGTTCTACACGATTGCACGATGGAAGGATGGCAAGATCACCCACTTGAAGTTCACAACCGACGTGCTCGGCATTCTCAGTCAGGTTCAGTAGACGACTGGCAGACGGGATGCATCGGTGATTCAACATGGTTTATTACACTGCTTAGGCGAGACAAATTAGCTAGATTGGCACTATCAGAAGCCATATGTAATGGGATCAAGTTTCATTTATCAAGAATGTTTTCAATACACGAAGTTTTATCATCAGGATCGTGAGACCAGCGAAGATGTATCATGGACGTATGGTGGAATTCGCTACACATGTAAAGATCGTGTTGATTGAAATACACTGAAGCTATTCACATTGTAGTTGACGTCAACGCAAGCACCTAGAAGCTCTGCGAGGACTTGAGAGTCTCATCGACAGCTGCAAACCGCGTTTACATTGCCATTACTGGCTTCAGTACATGCAAGAAAAGAAACAAGGTCTTTATGAAGATGAATGTTGGTGTATTAGTTTTGGCGTTTGAGATTCCTATGAATATATGACATACTCGAAACACCTAGGAGCTCCAGGATGCTTTGTCCAAATACGTGCGAAGTGTCTCGAGCTCCCTAGAGGTTGGCAACGTTGCGCTTCTTGCTGCGACGGCGACGATGCTTTCTCTTGCAAGGGCCGACCGGAGCGGAGGCAACAGGGACGGAAGCCGAGAGAGCAGCGGGCGTAGTCGATGGCACAACAGTAGTCGTGAAGGCAGCAACTTCAGTCGTGAGACTACCGGTATTGGCAGGGCAGTTCGTAACAGTGGGTGCACACGAGGTGACCGTGTAGATGTTGGTGGTGTAGACAGTGGAGATGATGTAGCCGTCGTCCGTGGTCACAGCACCTCCGGCACTCTCAATTGGAGTCGGGACAGGGACATTACTGTTGGTAGCGCCACCAGTGCTAGGGATTGTAACACCGGCACCGGAAGTTATGGTCGGAAGAATGCCACCAGAGATTGTAGACAGAGCCCCAGATGGGCCGGTGGCTGTGGCCGTTCCGTTGGGGTAGATCGCCGTAGCGTTCAAGGTCGGGATTGGGGCAGAAGAGAAAGTGATCGGTGTGGCGGACGCGATGGCGCTGGAGTTTCCGAGGGACGTGGCTTGAACAGCAGATGTGCTGTTAACTGCAATAACAGATGAAGTCTTCGAGGCATTAACGGAAGAAGTTATGCCGGCGCTGCTAGTCTTTGATGTGATGGTGGGAGTGGCAGTGGTAGCAATCGTGGAGGAAGGCTTGGTAGAGGAGGCTTTCGTGGCAGCAGCAGCGAGAGCAGAGAAAACAGAAGAATATGCCGGCTTGGGGTTGAAGTTGTTGTCAAACAAGCATGCGCCGCCCTGTCCGGGGAAGGTGCCTGGCACCCAGCTGTATTTGTCTGTCCAATCCCAGATAGTCCAGCCCACGCAGCCTTCGACGTTGAGACAGGCGTTGATCACAGAAACATAGGCCTCAGCCTGGGACTGGAGACCGGCGCTGGTATACGGCAAGCTAGTGAACTTGACATCCACCTCGGTGTACGCAACATCCACCCCCAGAGCCGTGAAAGAGTTGGCGACGGACTCGAGATCCTCTTGGCTTGGCATGCTGCCAACGATAAAGTGCCCCTGCAGACCAACGCCATGGATGGGAGCACCAGCGTCCTGAACGTACTTGACTAGCTCAATCGTCTTCTGTTGCTTCGCATTGGGGTTCTCGATATTGTAGTCGTTGTAGTACAGCTTGGCCGCGGGGTCGCTAGCATGTGCCGTGTTAAAAGCGAGCGTCAGATAATCGAGGCCAAGTACGGTGTAAAACACCGTGTCGCGGTAGTTGCCTGAGTCGTCGATAGCCTCGTTAACTACGTCCCAAGAGTAGCACTGCCCCTTGTAGTGGCCAACCAGGTTCTCGATATGTGTCTTGATGACGGCCGTCAACGAAGCCTTGTTCCAAGATCCGCCAGTCAACCAGGAAGGAATCTGGGAGCGGTACAGCAGCGTGTGGCAGCGGAGGATCTGGCCATTTGCTTTCGCGAAGTTGGGCACGACGTCGGCATACGTGTACTGGAACTTGCCTTGCGTAGGCTCGGTATAGTCCCACTTCTGCCCATTCCCAGGAGTGATCTGGCCGAAGTTCCCCACGACGTTGGTGATGGCAGTGTAAGACGAGTCTGAAAGTTCGTTGTTGTCCGTGGCCGTTCCAAAATACTTTTTTCCTGCTGCTACAGCAAGAGAGTGTAAATCGGCAGAGGCATAGTCCACAAGGGCCAAGGCCGCCAACGTGGCGACGGAGAAGCGCATGATAAAACCCGAGCCAGATGTGTTGAGATTTGGTTTTCGAATGAATTCTGATTGTCTGGTAATGACGGCAGGTGAAAATTAAGAGAAGCTGGTCTGAATAAGCGTGAGATCGGCCCAAGCCGACGAAAACCACCACGCAGGGAACGAATGTAGAGGCGTAGCGAATGAAGGTGCACAAGTGCGACGTTCCAAGGAGCCTGGAGAGGCAAACAAGGGCAGCGTTGGATCAGAGATGGTTCGCTGGCTCTGTTTATAAAATAATGTCATGGATGTCATGAACATTCTCAATAGCCCACCATTCGCGCACTGTCCATACACCTACCTTGTTACCAGTTGTTCACAACTCGGCTACGTCGTATCTCAAGAGGAGAAAGTCCACAGACAGTTGCATTCATTGGATCCTTTAGGATCCACCATGCCGGGGTAGCTATTCGTATTGAGTAAGGCTCGCCCAAACAAATTGAGCGCCGGTTGGTTCAGTTGACGAAACTGGCAAAACCCCTTTTATTCCTTCCGAATACGATTGAGTCGGTAAACAGGCGACCTTCAAAGCGGCCTGAGCGTGTCTTTTTGCACAGTAGAACCGGGCTCGAACGTGGGCCAGGAGTTGATGGGCTATGCTCGCAGGTGGGTTGGCAAAGTTTAACATAAACAACCTCCCAATTGCGACCTCACATGTTTATCACCCGATTGCGTGAGTGTGCTTGTGACAGAAGCTTGAATAACGAACACAGTCGCAAGCCTAGTAATGGACGGACACAAGTCGCCCACTGCTAGCAATAGCCTGTTACGATATACCTCATACGGTATGCAGCTGTGTTTGAATTACTCGATTTTACTTGTTTGAATTATTTTGGTTAAATACGGTGGCGACAGAAAAGAACCCTCCTCCTGGTTTCCCGCCCACAAGAGCCAAAGTTCTGGGCATTCACGGCTCTAGAGCTGGAGGTACTGTCTCAAAACGTAGTAATAATGTCTCTGTGCATGCCGCGCTCATACATTCGGCCCCTGGGTACTCTCTCTCGTCCGCTACGCTTGTGTTGAAGCTGGTATAAATGGATACAAGCCCCATGCGTAGTACTGTGAGTCTGTCAGTGACTGAAGCATAGTCTGGTAGGAGGCTGATACTTACACTCCATAGCAATGGGTTGCCCAATGCATCCTCGCTGCCCTGAACCAAAAGCGTAGAACCATCTGTTCATCGTAGCCAAGTCTTTAGGTTCCTTGGACATCCAGCGGTATGGGTTCCAAACCTCAGGATCCAGATAGACATCTGGGTTGCGGTTCAGATGTCTGCCGTAAGTGCCGACCCGCGTGTGGCTTGGCAGTTCATCGATGCGGCCAAACTTGCTTGTGCCGTGCGCAGGACTTACGCGCGGGTCCATACCTGGCGCCGTGTTCCGCAGACGCAGACTTTCCTTGATGATGCCGTTGAGCAACTCAAGCTGCTCGAGATCCCGTGACTCGGGCAAATGGTTTTCGCTGAGAGGCTGCTTTAGAGACGAGAGCTCGAGATGAAGCGCAGCCTGGATGTCCGCGTGACGGGAAAGCTCCCATAGCATGTAGGTGAAGGTAGTACCAAACGTTTCTCCCGACGAGGCTATCGTCTGTTAGCGCTGTGTTGATAGGAAAGACTGAGACAACTTACTGATGTGATCCAGACACTCGCTGGCCAGTTCAAGCCTTTGAGTCGCCGATGGTACAAAATCAGCATCTTTGACACCGCTCTGCTGTGCCATAGCTGTCCTGACGGCATCGTACAACACGGGCAGGTCACCCGGTGCAGGCTCCGAACCTTGCATTCGGGACTGTAGCAGGTCTTCGGCAGCATCAACTCTCCTCAGCGCCCATGTCTCCAGTTCTCGACGAGCATTGACATAGGTCTTAGATAGGATCGGCACACCTAGCCGACGAGCAAATTCCACGAGTCGCGGGTGCTCCTTGAGGAGGTAGCCGAGGAAACCACCCGGGTAGCAGTCGTTGTTCAAAGCAAACCACTGATCGTAGGCGAGACGGTCTTTGAGAAAGTTGTGCCCAAGAGAAAGTCCGAATGCAAAAGCTGACACGTAGTCGAGGGCGAAGGATTGAGCCAAGGGCATTATGGAAGCAGTTCCCTCTTTGGATGAGGCGAGATCTGCCAGAAGAGGGTACAGCTTTTGTTGAACGAGAGAGCCGAGAATAGATTGCACATCAGGCGATTTCATGAGAAACTGACGGGAGTGCGCGATCCGGAGACGATGGCGACGCCCGCGATGCTCGTTGCTCCCGAGCGTTGTGAAGGTGTTGGTGATGCTGAAGTGATGAATGTTAGTCGGACCCAGCAAGAAATGAGAAGGTCTCACTAACCCATGAGTTCCGAAATACGTATAAGAGTGGTGCTTGTCGAAGCTGGACGATCCCACGCCCCAGCCATTCCGGACGGCTTCGATGTCGTTAACGGCAACCTCACGAGGACCAAGGCGCACATAAGGGCCCTTGGAGAGAAAGGCTTCTGACACGCATTCGTACTCTTGTCCCCGTAGTCGTTTCAAATGAATCCAGAGCGATGTGATATGACATAACGGGTGAGCTGCTGGGATGGACGCCAGAGGAGACCAAAATAGCGGATAGACGATGAAGTGCCAGATCAACACTGGGACCAGGATGAAAATAAGTGCCGCTGCTACAAGGGAATGCATCTTCGTTTCGATGTCCACGAAAGATGCAGAAATGACCACTCGAGAGTTTCTCGAGGCTCTGTCCGAGTTGAAAAGGTCCAGCAAGACAAAGGGACCAAAAGCCACTCCATCGCTGCGCGCCAAGGGCGTTGAACACGCAGCGAGACAAGTGCCATGCAGTACGCAATGGGTAATCGGGTAGAGTTGGCTGATGTCTTACGATCGAGGTGGCGGCCAGAATACCTCAGACTGCTATTTTGGGTAATTCGCCGGCCAGCCAAAGATGTTGCTTTATGCTGCCGCCTTTGTTGGATCGCCGGAAGTCGACTGGCAGCATCCCGCCGCCACGAATGATGTTAGCGCCAAGAAGCATAAAAGAAGCGCTAACGAGTGTCTCTTCCATGTTGTCGGGAATGTCTCTGCGGCTATTGGCATCGGACCATACTGTCGGGTAGACAGCCACTTTTCAGCTGTTTCTTCTGGTTCAAGGTTTACTTTCAGCGGTGATGAGGCCATTGAGCACAAGGGGCCTTTGCCAATGACTGCATACAAAACTTACACTAGCAATGTTTATTACCAGGACCTATGCCCGATGCGTCAATCATACATACGTTTCATAAATACGCCCACGCCGATTACCCGACGCCTGCCTCAGGACCGCGACCAAGATCCTTCCGAACCATCGGTTACCTGCCCGTCTGCGAGCGCGCCTAACATTCCCCAAAGATCCTCAAGCCTGACGCCTCCGAATATGTCAGTGTTACTGATTTCAGTGAACATGCCCGTCAAATCTGGTAGTTCCAGATCCATTATGTCCATCTCCGCGGCGATCTTCCCGGCGCTGGAGGTCTCCGTTGGAGTCTGGTCCTCCCCTCTCCATGCCATGTTGTCAGATGCGATGGAACCCCGGTGGTTGTAATGAGAGTAGCTGCCTTGACCTTGGCCGTGCTGCGAGAAAACAATCTCGGACGTGTTTGACTGCAAGACGGAGCAGGCTTGGATGAAGCGGGGGTTCTGCGTGACCTTGGTGTACTGCTCTTCTGCGTACTGCGCTGCTATGCCCAAGAGCTCGAGATCTGACCGTGCAAGGCGCGAACCGGGCTGCTTTAGTATATGAAGCGCCAGAGCAACAGCAGAGATGAGAGGTTGTGTGATCGTGAAGATCACCGACTCGGAACGGTTGATGTGTGGTTCTCCGAGCATGCCTCCTCTGGTTCGCGGCGTCGGCGTTGAGTCGTCGGCGATTTCGCCTACTAGTCTCACAATAGCCCTTGCAGAGCCGATGCAGATCTCTGCGCCGCGTCTAAGGCGGCTGAGTTCAACGGCTGAGATGCTGGTTGAATCTGCTTGTGAGTTGATGTGGGTTCGGTACATGGCTTCCGGGAAGACGAGTGCGGCCCGGTGGAGAGATATCAGAGCGTGGTGGTAGTGGATCGCAAGAAAGATGGCGAGATGTTTGTGACCCGTCTCGCAAAGTATTACGTTTCCGCTATTAGGTCCTGGAGGACGAATCTCAGGCGGCAATGACTGAGCCCACTCTGTGAGGGCCGAGTCGAGGCGGACTGTGTCGCCGAGGAGGACGCGGGGAGTTTGTGCTTGGCCGGACCGACGGTAGATATGACCACTGATGCTGCTGATTATGCGTGTCAATGAGGCCCACGGCTGGAAGTAGTCAATCACCTGGCGGTCGGCTTGCGCTTCTGGAGAGGATCCGATGGAGACCGCTATGCCAGCCGCGGGAACAGGGACTGGTTCGGGCAATGTCTGGTCGCAGTCTGAGTCGTGAATGGCACTTGGACGACCTGTCTCCAGCTGCATCAGCTTCTCAAGAGTGTAGCAAGTCCACCAGAGCTGACTGTGAAGCTTTCTGCAGCCTTGATAACCTGGAGATGGGGCCGAGTTGGCCGTTGCTGGGGGAGGGCTCTTCATGTGCCTTGTTGATGCGTGCCTGTGGAGACCGATGGAATGGGCTATTCTGATGGCTTGACCAAGAGTCTGCCATCCCTGCCCTTCTTTGCTTCGGCCACGAAGGGCAAGAGTGAGCAGGACTAGAGCCTGGACTGAAGCCAGATATGGCGTTGAGATGACATGGGCCAGAAGGCTGTATGCAGCGGTGAGAAAGTGCGTCCCGATCTCTGTTACTGTACCTGTCTCCTCATCTGCACTGATGCAGATGATAGAGTAGATGCAGACAAGTGTCGGTACTTGTGACAGGTCGATAGCGTTTTGGATCCCGCCAGAGGGATCGGCATCCTGAAGCGAGACCAACTGGCCCATGTCCGAGCGGAAGGTAGGCTCATCAAAGACGGGAAAGAGAGGAAATATCCGCTTCATGTACACGTCCAGGTACGCATCCAGTGCCGACAGAGGTGGAAGCGATGGCAGCTGCAGTGTCAGGGGAACTTGGAATTCTTCTACGTGGTGCATGCCGAACCGGAAGTAAGGCGACAGTGTCCGAAGACCGCGTTTGCGGAAGAACAAGTCGGCGAACATGGTAAGCGACTGCACGCTGCTGCCACCCATGAATTTGAGCCGATGGGGACTTTCGTCCGTGTTCAGGGCCATGTCAGGGTTGAGATCCGAGTGGTCGTGGGGTGCATGGCCGCTGTCATTATCTCGAACGTTGGCTCGGTACGCTTGCGCGACCCATGAGAGCCGGCGCGAGGCGGCATCTTCGCCCTCAGAGCCGTTCTCATAGGACGGTGATAGATACTGCCGTGGCCTTGGAGATACCGTCCGGAGGTGACGATCACGGGGCGGCTCAGAGCCTTCCGGTATGCTGCTTTCACTCCGATTGGCATTGCTCTTAGATGCCCATCTCCGAACTGCATTCTCCTTTGGATTGCGAGGATTGGTAGTCTGGCAATCATCCCCTCGAAAGATGCAGTTGTGGCACTTGGGCGTCTGGGCGTCGCATCGCACTTTGCGCTTTCGACATTGATTGCATGCCAGGGAGAGGCGTATGCGCTTCGGATGTGACTGGCTATCGTTTGATGTAATCGGCGGCTGTTCGCTTGAGCTTGACATCGAGTCCGTCATTGCAGCAGAGGATGGGCTGTTCATGGTCGGTGCTCGACTCCGAGGCGGAACGGGAGAGACTTTGGAGACTCCTCGGTCGGGCTCGGATGTGTCTCAATGGCAGGCTGGGTATATAACGGAAAGTTTTGGAGACACGGAGAAAGGGTCCCTTGGGGTATGTATCTGCCAGGAAAACTCAACAAGCTGAACCGAGTAGTTTATCTTGCATTTTCCCCAGGTTATGTGACCTGTCTGTGGGGAAGGGGGAGAAACCCCCCAAATGACCCATGTTCGCTGCGACCCCGCCCTGCGCAATCCGGGGGCGGGGGTCCGCGGCAATGTGCCTCGGGTAGTGGCCACTGGAGGCGTCGTAATTATTAATGGCTGATCACTGATCAAAGCCGGTTTCATTCCTTGCTGCAGCTGTGGATCTGTTTCGTTGCATGCTCGGTGGAAACTGGCGACGTGTTGAAGAGTCTATGTTTCGATGCATTCAGGGATGTGCAGCATTCATCTCAGTAGTTGGCTACACGTGAGCTGGTTGGTCATTTGCAGCAGTGTGACATCGCAAACATTTACAGGGTTCCCCAAGCTAGTTTCAGTTCTTCATGTAAGAACACCCTCCGTTCAACGCATTTCCCCCGATGAAGATGAAAAGAACGCATTGCGCAACATTTATTGAATCATGTTCATGATATATTTGACTATGTCCGCTCTACCAATGATCACATGCCTGGTATGGCCTACGAGCATTCAAGTCTTACATTTGTGTCTGTTTTTCAAGACAACGTATTAAAATGACCACATTGTTCGGAACTGGTATAGCAATTCTTGGACTTATGACTTCTGATGAATGCTCAATTGCTACTCACACATCTTCAATCTGATACTAATACGCCTTGACTGCCGCCAATTGCAGCAACCTATCCGTGATCACCGGTTTCTCTAATGGCTCTTCACGCTCCTGCGGATCAATCACACCATCCCTCTTGGCCTTGCCTTGGGGATGAATGTTCGTGTGAGGCCAGTGAGTAGTTCCTCCCCACGCTCTGAAGATATCCGCCTTCTCCTTGATACTCTGAGGGTCGGCGAACTTGGCAGGGGTGAAGCAGACGTATTGGGCATGGCGAATCTGTGTGCCCTCGGGGTGCTTGGCGTAGTGCATGGAGCTGGCAAACATCTCTTAGCCAACTTCTCACAGGAATCAATGGAAATACATACCGAGAGTCCCACAACACCAGGTCACCGGGCTCGAGGTTCGGCTTAATCAGCTTGCAGCCGCGGTCCTCAAACCACTTGACGTCTTCCTCTTTGAAGATGAACAGATCCCTGTAGTTCTCTTCGGGAGGAGGAGCATCTTCATGAGCAGCCATCACACGAGTCTCCTGGAAGAACTGGTCGTATAGCTTAGCTGATCCGCTCATAAGAATTAGACCACCGTCCTTATCGCCGTTCGGAGCGAAGTTCAGCAGTCCCTGGACACATTGAAGACCCTTTCGCTTAGGATCTTGATCTGTTCAATGAGTTAGAAACTGAAGACCCTCATGTGGCAAATTATAAACGTACCGCAATGAGGCCACGGTGACCACTTGAGGTCCTTCTGCCGTGGGAGAGTAACGTTGAACATGTCGAAGCTCACGAGGAGCTCCTCAGTTTCCCAAACGTGAATGAACGGGTTGATGACGCCAGGCTCCCTGCAAACATGTCAGCCAGATCCGGCAAGCAACCATGTCTTGGCCAAGTCCATGCCGTTCTCCAGAATAGATCACTGACAGTCTGGCTTCCCAAGCAAATCGCTCATGTGGGGCGCAGTAAGACCCGTACATACCTCCCTTGAAGGAGACTGGGAGGTGCTCCGATGTCCAAGTGTCCTCATTGTCGGGGTCGAACCCGCGGTTGAAGGACTTGAGCCAGTCGATCTGCTTCTGCTTGTAGTACTCAGCTCGCTCAGGAGCAATAGCGTTCTTAAGGATGGCGTAGCCATGTTCGAAGAAGTGGTCGCGCCAGTCGCCGTAGTTAGCCTTTGGCTCGAGGAGGGACTTGGACATTTTGGTTGATATGGGAGATTAAGAAAATGCGCTTCTGAGCTCTGACTGATGCTTGCTGATATGATAGAGACCAGTGTTGTGAAATTGAAGCTGATATCTAAGAATCCCGCCTGTCATTATATGCAACTCCAGTCAAAGCCATAACATGGTGCATTGCCTGCGATCTGAAGCTCTGAGATGTGCCCCTGTCCGTGATCCCCGCGTTCTCCAGCTTACCCCGGTCAGACCTCGTCTCGAACTCCTCCCCCAGCCCCATCCGGCTCGGTCTACCAACCTCGCCTCGGTCTCGTGTTCTATCCGCGAGCGTGAGAAGTGGACTCGGTTCGGTTCGGTTCGGTTCGGTTCGGGGTGCTCCAAGGACCCCTTTTCGACACGGGAGTGGGGCCGACGGCCGCTTCTAAACCGAACGGATCTGGGCCGGATCTCACCCCGCGGTCTAACCCCACGAAATCTGGCTTGGCTGGACATGTTTCCGATACTATCCCCGCAACGGACAGCAAGGTCCCTGACCCGCGAAGCAGTGAGCTACGCGTCGTGCTGAGCAATTGGTGTCGTTGATAGGATGAAGAAGATATTCTGGCGCGTTCAATAAAAAGCGCCACATTGGCAACACCCTGGACTAGAGATTCAGCTTCAGGAGATTGAACATTCCCATTCAAGACCCCAGCTAATCAAACATTCTCCAATCATGCCTCTCCCAATTCAGATCGCGCACAAGCCCATTGGCAAGCCGGAGATCGGAGTCAACAATTATCAAGGCTTCACCCCAGGCCGCACCGAAGTCCTTCCCAAGGGCTGGAACGGATACAACGCGAAGCCTCTCGAAAGCGACATTCGAATCGACCACGACGTTGAAATCAAGGTCCGAGATGGGTGCAGACTCTACATCGACGTATACCGCCCAGCGGACGCGACGGAGAAGATCCCGGCCATCGTAGGCTGGTCTCCCTACGGCAAGAAGTACAGCGCTTTGACGATGTTGCCCATGACGCCGTGGTCTTGTTGTGTCAAGAAGAGCGATCTCAGTGGCCTTGAGAAATTCGAGGGCCTGGATCCTCAGAGATGGTGCCCCAAGGGCTACGCCATCATTAGCGTCGACAGCAGAGGTGCTGGCAACAGCGACGGCCAGGTCCCCATCATGGGTCTCCAGGATGCCGAGGACGCATACGATGTCATTGAGGCCATCGCCAAGATGGATTGGTGCAACGGCAGCGTCGGTATGGCCGGCAACTCTGCGCTTGCCATCGCTCAATGGCACGTCGCCTCCCTGAATCCTCCGTCGCTGAAGGCCATCGCACCTTGGGAGGCAAGCGGCGATTTGTTTCGCGAGCAGTTTGTCAGGGGCGGCATTTTCTCCATGAGCAACTTCGACCTCATCACAAGTTTGATCATCAAGGGAACTTCAGGTGTTGAGGACTTTGCCGAGATGTACCGTCGCAGCCCTCTGTCCAACATCTGGTGGGAGGACAAGCGCGCGAATATGAAGGCCATCAATATTCCAGCATATATCTCGGGATCCGACTTCAGCTCCATCCACACTATGGGCAGCATCAGAGGCTTCATGGAGCTGGGCTGTGAAAAGAAGTGGATTCGCTGGAGCGCATGGCAGGAGTGGTTTGATCTCTACAGCGTTCCCGAGACGAACGAAAACCTTGCAGTAAGTACCCGAGAGCCTGGACCCCTATTTTGCAGATGACTGATCTTTTGGAAAGAAATTCTTTGACAGGTACCTGAAAGACATCGAAAATGACTGGGAGAAGACACCCAAGGTTCGCTGGACATCCCTCAAGTTCGGCGACCGAGAACCCGAAAGCGATATCCTCTTCGAAGACTTCCCTCCTCCGAATACCGACTACAAGACCTTCTACCTTGAGAACGGCGCCTTGTCTGAGTCAGTCCCAACAAGTGCATCAAAAGCGTCGTACAACTCCGAGGACGGAAACTCCCTAGCCAAATTCACATACACCTTCGACAAGCCCTCGCGCGTGATTGGCATTCCCAAAGCAGTTCTCTACGTGTCTTGCCCTTCTCACGACGACATGAACGTCTTCGTCAACATCCGAAAGCTCGATAAGGACGGCAACCCAATGATGCATCTGTGCTTCCCATTCTGGGCAGCCCCCGTCAAGTCGATTCATGACATCGCCCCGAAGGAGCGAAGCAGTACGAACCTGCACCTTGGCTCGGTTGGCCAGCTGAGGGCATCGCACCGCAAGATCGACCCGTCGCGTTCGATGCATCCCCAGTTCCCCTTCCACCCGCATGACGAGGAGCAGAAGATCCCACCTGGTGAGATTGTAGAGCTGGAGATTGGTATCTGGGCTATGGGTGTGGACTATGAGGCCGGCGAGTCCGTACAGGTTCAGATTGGCGGTCAATTCCCCTCGATCGCGGAGTACAAGGCCTTCTCGACCGAGCGGCCTGAGCATGAAAGGAATAAGGGCGAGCATTTTATCCACTGTAGTCCGGAACATCAGAGTCAGATTGTCCTGCCGTTTATTCAATGATAGTACTCATGTGTAGATATTCCTTATAATTGGATATTCTGAAGGAATTGGTCATAATAGCTTTGAGCAGTCATATTTCGTATGCATAAATCGTAAATATGAATAATACGACTACTTCGTCGGGAAACAACATGACCCATCTGTTGGGATCTTTAGGTAGTCGATACGGCGTCTAAGTCCATAACATTATCACCAAACACTGGCACAGCAGAACAATTCTAAGACAGATTGGCTCCAATGCGTTGTGCTCCGCGAAATAACAGCAACGATCTTCACGATATTTGCTCACAGTTAGGGATCGAGAATATTATTGCTAAATATTGAGGTTTGGCACAGGCGAAATATCGTGATACGTCCATGGATGATACTATCAATCATCCAACCGTCAATTCAATAATGCTCAACATTTCAATGTCTGTCTTCACTCTCCATTCGAGATTCGGCCTTCCATGGCCAACTTTGTCTTTGACCTTCTCTGACCACATCATAGTACCACTTCTCAAGCCTCAGCAAATTCGAGTCATAATCGGTATCTGAGCCTGAAAGCCATGAGGTCATACTAGTGGTTGTAGGACGGAGTAGCGCTCGTCTCTGCAACAGCCCACTTCGCAACCATGGCTCTGATCTGAGTACCCCAAATAAAGACAAAGATACCGACAGCCCCAAGGGCAGCAGTCAGCCCACCATAAACTCCAAAAGCTCCATCGTATCCAATCGAGTTGACAAACGGCGTGACTCCGTAACTAGTGCCGAAGGAAATGACACCGCGCATGGCGCAGATGATGACAAGCACAGGGCCAGAGCGGGTCGGGTAGGCGTCAAGGGCGTAGGTGATTCCAACCTGGTTTGCTCCCACGAAGCCAAAATAGTAAGCGTTGATGGAGAAGACGATGGCGAACCAATGGAACCTCTCCGGATGCGCCGCCGCCTGGCCATAGAGGATGGAGGCGAGCGTGCCCACAATGACGGGGATGATGAGAGGAATGAGGCGGTACTCGGGCTTGTGAATGCCGCCATTGCGACGAGCGAAGTATTGAATGATCCAATCTGAGCCGCGCCCGAGAAGTGGCAGAGCCAGGAAGGCGACGACGATCTGGCCGGTCAAGGCGAAGCTGACGACGGAAGAGCTCCAGCTGTAGGGGGCTGCCTGCAAGATAGCTCCATACGTGGTGCCAAGTGCGATGTTGACGCCGCTGTCGAGAAGGAAACGTTAGTGACAGTATACTGAAACTTTGTGGGTAGATTGGCAAATGCCCGGGCTGCATCTTACATTGTAAGGCCGTTCAGAAGTAGGGCCCACGTCATATCAGGGAAGAAGGTGACAATAGCCATGCCGGTGCAGCATTGCCAGCCCTCCTTCCAGTCGGGTTTCTGGTTAAGAATGCGGATGTCGGAGGCCAATGTGCGGGGCTTGAAGTTGACAAAGTCGAGTTCGCGAGGCTCGGTGGTAGTCTTGCGGGTGAGCATCTCGGTGTAGACACCAGTGGTATCGTCGACACCCGGGGCATGAGCAGTGACGAAGCGCGAAACCGAGGCTTCCTGGCCCTGATAAGCAGCGAGGGGTCTGTCATACTTGGTCTCGGGCACCATGAAGATGGCAGAGAGGAAGGTTAAAGCAGCGATGCCGGCCCCGAGAAAGTACCACCCGGAAGAGCCAATACCGGCGGCGATATAAGATGTTAGGAGAGTGTAGACTCCGCTCAGGGTAGACTGCCAGAGGGTGAACCACATCAGGCATCTGGCTCGCTCATGCAGGAAGTGAACTTCTTGAACCATCAACGGGCAAAGAGCTTCACTCTGTCCAGCCGCTAGACCGAGGATCATGCGAGCAGCGAGATGGGAGTTGTAGGTCTTGGCTGTGCCACAGAGGATGGATCCCAAAACAGCCAGGGCGCAGGAGCCAAGGAAGACAGGTCGACGGCCAACGGCGAGAGCCAGAGGCATACCAATGAGGTTACCCAGACCCATGAAGAGCGATGGGTATGTCATGAGGTGTGATATGTCTTCATAGCTGCCATGTCCTTCCGCTGCGTATTGTGGGATGAATTCGCCGAGGAGTGCACCGAGTCCGGAAACTTGTACCAAGCCAACGGCGGCGAAGGTAGCGCAGGTCATCATAATAATCTGTTGTGGAACATGGTCAGTATACATACCTTCTTACTACTTTCTGGTTAGGTTTCAGGGGCTTACCCATTTTCTCAGCTTGCTCAAGTTGAGAGGGTCTGAGAGGTATTCGAGTTAGTCCAATGTCTTCAACTCCAAACTCGAAATGACTGCTACGTTGAGATGACTTACCTCGGGGGTCAGAACTCGGAGTCGGAATGAGATATGTGACGTCTCCGTCAGCCAACTGGACGTTGGGCTTGTAGCTTCCATCGTCGATTGGAGGCTTTTGGGCGAAGTCGGCGGACTCGACTCTCTCTTCGGTGATCTTGCTGTCTGTCTCGCCCATGTTGAATAACTATGAGCTGTTGAAAAAGGAATTTTGAATGA